AGTTTGCATATAACAACAGTTATCATTCCAGTATCCAAGCGACACCATATGAAGTATTGTATGGACGTAAATGTCGAACGCCGTTGTGCTGGAATGGAGTGGGTGAAAAACAGCTAACAGGTCCTGAAATTGTTCAAGAAACTTCCCGAAAAGATTGAACAGATCCGCGAAAGAATCAAAACAGCACAGGATCGCCAGAAAAACTATGCTGATAATCGTCGAAAATCCATTGAGTTTGAAGTAGGCGATTTTGTAATGTTAAAAGTTTCACCATGGAAGGGTGTTATCAGATATGGGAAGAAAGGAAAGCTCAGTCTGAGATATGTGGGGCCATTCAGAATATGCAAGCGAATCGGGCCAGTAGCATATCAGTTAGAATTGCCAGAAGAGCTGAGTCGAATTCACAACACTTTCCATGTGTCGAATTGGCGGAAATGTTTGGCTGATCCGAATTTAGCTGTACCATTGCCAGAGATTCAACTAGACAGTAAATTGAACTTTGTGGAAACACCAGAAGCCATAATTGACAGAAAGATCAGGATGTTGGGAAACAAAGAAATAAATCTGGTTAAATTACAGTGGAAGTTCCACAAAGGACCGGAAGCGACATGAGAATTGGAGTCAAATATGAGATCAGAATACCCGTGGCTTTTTGATTAAAGGAATTCCGGGAYGGAATTCTTTTGAGGGGTGGATAATGTGATAACCAGATCCTGGTTATTACCCAAGGTATTTAATACGTGATTATCTGATTTAATAATTACGTGATARCATAATATTTGATCATGCTGGTATATGAAAGTTATGTGCATAACGTAAATTTTGTATGAAATGAGGAGTGTATGTAAATATATATATATATATGTATATATATATATATATATATGTTTACTTGATGATATATATGTATATAATAATAATAATATATATATATATATATATGTGTGTGTGTGTGGTGTAAGTGTGCATACGTGGAGATATGCATGTAGTGCATTTGTGTGCATGGGTAAGGAAGGGGGGGGAAGGCGGTAGCCGACCTTCCCCATTTAGAATGTATAAAAGGGGGGTTACCCCTTCATTTGCCATTTCTTGCTATTTTTGGAGAGAATTGAGAGGTTATATAAGAAGTGTTGTCCGGTTTACTTCAAGAAGCCG